GACATCAAGGGGTGGGCTGCTGGAGGTTCGCAGGGGTTCAGGAGAAGCTCTAGCAAAGATTCTGTGTAGAATCCCCAAATCCCACTCCTGACTGGCCCTTCCCACCCCACCCCATCCCTCCCAGGAGTCTCCACGCATCCCATTTTGGATGCAGGGCATGTACAGAGGCTCAAGGAAAGCCTCTGGAGCCCGGGAAGGGCAAAAATGCCCCCCTTCACCGTGGTGCAGGAGGCCGACTAGACGCACCATGACCACGCCCACCCATGCGCACCATGACCACGCCCACCCAGCAACTGGGTAGAGAACTCCTTGCTAAAATTTTTGAAGCCCACCCCCGGTGACATCAGTCACACAGAACAAACCAAAGTGTCCGGGGAAAGATTGAGAAGATGCCAAATGGAGCCGGCGAGCCAGCACTCGGTTGTGTTTTCATCACAGTTGTATTAATCATGCAAATAACAAGGCTTGTGTCAGGAGAAGAGGGAAAATGTCTACTCTGGTTCAGAAAAAAAAAAATCCAAAGACAATCTCAACTATGGGTTTTGGATGAGAGAAACACAGCTGCATCAGACAGAGATATCCCTAACAGATGGTTCAAAAAGGCATCTATTAGCCAAGATTAGGAAGCCCTTCAACCATTCACATCAAATTCAAGCTCTAGAGCCTTTTCTAAATCAAGACATTATTCTTGTACTAGGAATGTCATTGTGGGGCTTAGGAAGGAGATTTGATGTACCCTGTTCCCCCCAAAATAAGACATCCCCTGATAATAAGCCCAATCAGGCTTTTGAGCGCATGGCAATAAGGCCAAGCGCTTATTTCAGGGCTCAAAAAAATATAAAACAGGATCTTATTTTCAGGGAAACATGGTATATCTCCCCCATTCTACTGTTTGGAGAGATAAAGCCCATAAAAATCTATATCACTAAAGATGAAACTTAGTATCTCATCTATCTTTATCTTTCAGGAAGATTCATCACACCAGGAAAAGCTACAGAGGACCCAAGGGAAATATAAAGTATTATCAAGAAAACAACTGATGGCAGAGGGATATAGTTGTCTGTGATTTTCTTACTTACGGTTATAAGATTTAAAGTAGAGAAAAGAATTCATGGTATTGAACAACGTAGGGGAGAATTTGAAATAGAATTGTGTACAAACGTTGAGTTGACTAAGAATGTTGATTATAACATATAGATGGAATTGTAGATGACCAGGCTGAGCCCAAGGGAGGAGTCAAGCACATCATCAGTCTCGAGACCCTTTGAACTCACAAAAGATCCAGGCCCTCTTGAAGTCCATTGACTCTTATCAATTGCCAACTTGCTTTGACCATTAGAAGTTCAAATTCTTGTAGAGAGGGTTAGCATGCCATAAACCTGTATTCATTTCAGCTGCCTTGCCTCCTGATTTCCTGCACTCGATAGGACTAATGGGAAAGTGTGTGATTGCTATAATTGCAATTTACCTTATATTATACTCTTAAGGATTTTTTTTTAACCTGTACCATTGGTTTATGACACTAGAAAAAATATCCAGAACGTATGCAGGTACTTCAAATTTATGTTGGAAATATGAACAAGAAGAATAGTTAGGGACACTTCTTGTTCATTCTTGTTCAGGAGAAAATAACTACCATATTTTTCAGAGTATAAGGTGCTCCAGAGTATAAGATACATCTTAGTTTTGGGGAAGGAAAATAAGAAAAAAAAAATTCTGCCCCTGCCTACCAGCATCCATCGGTATTCATCTGGCCAGTGTCCTGTAGGTAGGTAGATAGGTAGGTAGGTAGGTAGGTAGGTAGGAAAGAAGGAAGGAAGGAAGGAAGGAAAAGAGGGAAAGAGGAAGGAAAAGAGGGACCAAGGAAGAATGGAAGGAAAAGAGACGGAGGGAGGGAGGAAAGGAGGATGCAAGGAAGGAAGGAAGGAAGTAATAGCAATAGCACTTAGACTTATATACCACTTCACAATCCTTTACAGCCCTTCTCTAAGCAGTTTACAGAGTGAACCTATTGCCCCCAACAATTTTGGGTCCTCCTTTTACCCACCTCAGAAGGACGGAAGGCTGAGTCAACCTTGAGCCTGGTGAGATTCGAACTGCCAAACTGTTGGCAACCGGTGATCAGCAGAAGTAGCCTGTAGTACTGCACTTTAACCACTGTGGCACCACGGCTCTATAAAGATGGATTAAACTTCCCTTCCCTATTCGCTGTGTTTTGTTAAAGATCACTTCACTCCTGCACAGTGGAATAAAATATCCTTCTGGATCTGCAAGCTTTTCTGAGCAGGGATGAATTGAGTTGGCTAAATGTGATGAAACAAACAAGGAATCTGTCACCAAATGGGGTACCATTCCAACTTCCGACCAATTTCTCATCTGCTGTTTGTGGAAGCCGGGCCTCAAATAACGAAGGCACGGATAGGCTACAGTGACTTAAAACTGGGTTTATTAACAAATCTGCTAAAGCACAATAAAACAGTTGGAACAAAAAGAAAAAAAGGAAAAGGAAAAAAAAAATATCTAGCCTGCGAATTTGCTTTTACAAATCGAAAACCCCGAATGTCAATTCTTTCCTTCACGTCGCACCAAGGCAGAGCATGTTAAAAAAAAAAATGGAAATGGCCATTGTTTGTACAATGAGGGCTGCCCCTCTCGTCTCTTTTGATGCCACATCGATGGATGCTCCAGACTGGCGTCGCTTATTTAGCGCCGCCGAAAGGGGCTTCTCTACCAAGGAAGAGGAAAACCACAGCAGGAAACAAAAAAAAACAATGCTCCCCTTTAAGCCCACTTCTGTCTTTCTTTTATCCTTTTGAAAAAAATAAAAATAAACGATGAACCACGCCGTCCGATGAATGTTGGCTGATATTTTCTCTTCCAGTATAAATGCCAAGAAATGCCAATCCTCTTGTGTCTGAGGATCCTGAGTTGGCTTTTGTTGCTCTGTGGTTTTTCGGAATGGGCACAGCTGGTGGCCCAGTTGAAAAAAGTTCCGTAGTTAACCTCTCCTTGACCAGTAGCTTTCTGAGAACTGACCTGCAGTGTCTCTGCTCTTTTTTCCCTCCCTGCTCGAAAAAACAGCAGTTCTAAGGATTAATCCCTACCCCCTACATCCACTAAGCCAAGAACACAACACGAACCGGGAAACGCCCGGCTTTCTTAGCCAAACGGGCCCTACCTACCAATTCTAGACCACGCACAACATCTGGCCTAACACTGAGTTGTCACACTAAAGTACCCATACACATCACAGTGGCTTCCAGGCCTGGGAAGGGCAAAGGCCATCTTCTCTTAGAGGTTCTTTCCCAGCTTTTCCGGTCCTTGCACCAAACGCTGGCTCCACTTCAACGCAGAGCCCCGGTGGCCATGTCTGTGCTCTTCTCCCAAACCAAGAAAACCCACCTCTCCATCTACCACTCCTCCCAGCCTCCCCTCCCCAATCCTCCCATGGGGCACAGCCTCCAGGAAAGTGGCTTTCCAGAAGCCTCTTTTTTTTTTTTTTTTACGTAGTTCCATTGCAAGGCCCAACTGTGAGTTTTAAGGCTCCTTGGTGGTGCAGGAGCTTTAACGCTTTGAATTCCAAAGGCATGGTATGAGGACTGGCCTGGGACATGTAGCCGTATTTCAGGCTGTCATAGTAGTGGTACTTAACGGGGTTTTGGTCTGGACCTTGGGGAAATGGCCAGAAACCGTAGAGGTAAATCTGGTTGCAGAAGCGAGTCGCCAGGGTGTACATCAATAAACCGGTGGTTGGGCGCTTGATATATACTTTGTTCGTCAGCCAATACCTGGAAAGGAACAAAAAAAAAATCACACAACAAATTGTTAACTTCTTTTGGCATGAGTTTGAGACCACTGGGGGGGGGGAATGCTTCTTTACACAAAAAGCATCATCATTCCTGCCAAAAAAAAATTGGAACAGTTTGGAGATGAAAAATCATTCGAGGCTAAAACTCAGTATCTATAAGTTCTCGGCAGACCTTGAGAATGTCAGAAGATGAAGAACAAGAAAATAACAAAGAGCAGCGATGAGTGATAACCACCCAGAGGAAGAGGTGAAGGTGAGGATGAAGGTGATGAAGGAAAGGAAATACCTGCTGGAATTTCCAGCAGAGCTTTGGAGTAACAAGTTGCGAGCTGTCAACTTAATCTACTCACAAGTAACTGAAATGACCTAAAAGAGAGAGTTGTTTTCATTTTGAAGCTGGTAAGATTTATTCCTAAGCGAGCCAGCAGGACATCAATGTAAGGTTTGCTACGGTTGCTATTGATTTATTTTAATTTTGAGGCTGCCCAACTTCTCAATGACTCTGGGAGGTTCACAATTAAAGGAGTAAAAGCAACGTATGTCAAAAGAAAACACGCAACCAACTTGAAGGCTAACTCAATACCCAAAGAACCAAAGCCACGACTTCCCTCTCTCAAGGCCTGGGAAAACAACCAGATTTTTAATAGGTGGAGGTTTTTTTGGGAAAGTCATTAAGATATGAGCAATATTGGACCAATACAAAGGGAAGTCATTCCTGGACTGCCAACTGAGAAAGCTGACTTCTTGGGTCCCATGAGATGACATTGTTTAATCAAATGGATTAAACAATGGATTACTTTTAAAAGCATTTTTTCGGCAGAAGAAAAAATGCTTTTAAAAGTAAAAGAAAACAGCCTCTGATGATTGCGCGGCTCAGCTGGGCATGGGGGGTGGGCAGGGATTTTTGCTACCGGTTCTCCGAACCACTCGCCTTCATCGCTACCGGATCGGGCGATCCGGTCCAAACCGGGAGCATTTCACCCCTGGCGCGGCCCCCTTGTGAACCGGTAGTAAAGGTGGATCTAACCGAGGTAGAGGGGCAGCCTTAGAGACATGGCCTCTGTTGTCCTTCAGATGGTGTGCTTCAAGATCCCAGTTGCTCAGACAGAGAGAGAGCAAAAGGCAATGAATTTTCTGTTCTATTCCAGTTTCAAGAAGGATTTGCTGCCACCAACCACTTCCCTCTCCTCTTGGCTAAACACCTGGGCCCACAACAAAGGCTAATTAATTTTGCAAGCATGTAAGCAATGTGGCATCGACTGTGTGTGCCACCACCGTAGTGTGAGATTCCAGGCTTTAATGAGAAGGCTGGCAGAAAGGGCATCATTATTTCCTTACTGCCAACTCGTCGACTACATCATTTGGCATTGCTATTAAACATACCACTTGAAATTGACCGAGGCAGCTGGGAAAAAAAAAAACACCACATAAGCAGACATCTGTTCTTTGGTACGGGGTTTCTATGAGCTGTGACGGTTGTGCCAAGCTTCTTCCTTAGTTGGAAAAATACTATTTGCACGAAAGGGTTTATTTTGGAGAGGGTTAGTCCCTTGGATGCCAGGGGACTCGCGAAGGTCAGTTCAACCGAAATGAGCAGGGTTTAAATCAGGAGTTCTCCATACGAGAAAACCACCTGCCTCTTTCTACCTACGAGCCGTCACTCAATTTGCTGAAAGGAAATTTGCTTTCCAAATTCATTTCGAAGAAGACTGGAACTTTGCTGAAATTCTCCTGTATGGAGCAGGGTGCTATGGCACATTGAGTGATGGGGTGGCCAAATGGAGAATAAGGCAAGCGATCTTATAGAACTGCGCAAGAATTTCTAACTATAGTAGTGGCCAAAATGGTGGAAACCTTTTGGGAAACGTGCATTTTCTAAAACTAGCTAATAACACCACTTTTTTTGGGGGGGGGAGGAGTACCCTAAAATTATATATCAATCGAAAGATAATTGAATCAAGAATGTAATGCAATAACTTTTATGAAGGATTTGCTATTAAAGTAGCAGTTACGGTATAAAGAAGAAAAGTGAAGCACGTAGAAAAAATGAGATATACAAAAAATATCACCATAGAAAAAACAAGATATATAAAAATGATCACCACGTCAGTTAATCCTTAGCTGGGTAACTTTTAGCATGAATTACGGCCTTACAACGTCTTCCCATGGAGTGAACCGAGCCTTTTAGTTCTGCAGCTGTTATCATGTGAAACCAAGATTGAAGGATGGCTTCTATTAACTGGGTTTTATTGCTGGGTCACTTCTGACTAATAAGTGGTGGCTCAGCAGACTAAAAGCATTGTGATTAATACCAGCTGTCTGCAATTACTGTAAGTTTGAATCTCACCAGGCTCAAGGTTGACTCAGCCTTCCATCCTTTCTAAGGTAGGTAAATTGAGGACCCAGTTGTGGGGGCAATAAGCTGACTTTGTATAAATATACAAAAGTATGAAGGCTATTGCTTAATGCATTTAAGCCACCCTGAGTCTCCGGAGAAGGGCGGCATATAAATCAATTTTTTTTAAAAAAAGTTTCTTTAATCAGCTCCATAGATTTTCAATTGGGTGAAGGTCTGGGCTATTCCCAGGCCATTCCAGCAGTGGAAAATGATTATCTTGAAACTCCCCCAAAAAAGTCGTGTTATTAGCCATCAAACCTCAAAAATACACTTTTCCCAAAAGGTTTCCACAATTTTGGCCACTCCTATATGTCATCGGTCCCCAACCTTTGGGGCACCATGGACTGGTTCCATGGAGAGAGGTTTTTCCATGGACCGGACAGGGGCTGGTTTTGTGTGTTGCCTGCATCCCACAAATGGGTCTTCACTTTTTTGTGTGGCCCGGTTGCTGGCATGCTGTGGCCCAGTGCCAGTCCACGGACCAGGGATTGGGGACCGCAGATCTAGGTAAAGAGAGCTGAAACATTCTTTAAGTCCTAGGAAACCGAATCACATTCAGAAATGACTCCTGTAAAATGATCCACTGGAGTGTAAGAGAGTGGGAATGTGGCACAATCAGACATGCAAGATTCTGTTATTATACAGGTAACCCTCCATTTACAACAGTTCATTTAGTGACCATTCGAACGGCACTGCAAAAAGTGACTTATGACTGTTTTTCACAATTGCAACCCCGTGCAATGGGATCAAAAAATTTGGGCTTTTGGCAAAGGACTCATGTTTATGATAGCTGCAGCGTCCTGGAGGCCATCCGATCCCCTTTTGCAATTTTCTGACAAGCAAAGTCAATGGGGAAAGCAGATTCGTTTAACCCAGGGGTGGGTTCTAAATTTTTTTTACTACCGGTTCTGTGGGCGTGGCTTATTTTGTGGGCGTAGTTTGATGGTCATGTGACAATTCTTTAGGATTTAGCAGAGGTACTGGTCTACCAGGCTTTTAACTGCTTGCAGAGCTGTACCGGTCTACCCATTTATTTTTGCAGGCACCGGTCTACTCATTTATTTTTGGAGGCACCGGTCTATCTATTTGTTTTTCAAGCGCTCTGGTCTACCACCACACTGCCTTTTAACACTGATCAGCTGTAGGGTGGCCCTTTGAAGCCCCGCGGCAAGAGTTTAAACAGTTTTTTTCCTTCTAGCTGATCAGCTGGGACTTGGGAGGCAGCGAATAGATTGGGGGCGGGGCCAAATAAAAGGTAAGAATAATGCAGGCAGGGCAGGAGGGCCCAGCTCCCGAACAAAGAGAACCAGTTCGTCATATCGTCACCGCTACTGGCTCGGCCGAACTGGGCCGAACTGGGAGGAACCCATCACTGGTTTAACAGCTCTGTGATTAACTTCGAAACGGCAGCAATTCACTTAACAAGAAAGGTCGTACAGTGGGGCAAAACTCACAAAGGTCTCACTTAGCAACGGAAATGTCGGGCTCAGTTGTGATTGTAAGTTGAGGACTACCTGCAGTTAGTCTATCTCAATAAAGCATTAGTTCTACCTTTCCTGTCAAGTTGATTTTATGACGTGGTCTACCCAGTCAGGCTGACATGTGGATGTCCAGGGGTGGGCTGCTGGAGGTTCGCAGGGGTTTGGGAGAACCTCTAGCTAAGATTGTGTGCAGTTCGGAGAACCCCCAAATCCCACTCCTGGTGGCCCCACCCACCCCACCTTGCCCCTCCCAGGAGTCCCCACACAGCCCGCTTTGGATGCAGGTAAGTGCAGGGCGCGCACGGAGGCATGGGGAGGGTGAAAAACGGGCCTACCGGAAGTTCGGGAAGGCCAGAAATGGGCCTGTTTCCGACCTCCAGAGGGTCTCTGGAGAGCCTCCAGAGCCTGGAAAGGCCATTTTCACCCTCCTCAAGGCTCAAGGAAAGCCTCCGGAGCAGTGGTGGGTTTCAACATTTTTTACTACCGGTTCTGTGGGTCTGGCTTGGTGGGCATGGCAGGGGAAGGATACTGTAAAATCTCCATTCCCACCCCACTCCAGGGGAAGGATACTGCAAAATCCCCATTTCTTCCCGATCAGCTGAGACTCGGGAGGCAGAGAATAGATGGGGGCAGGGCCAGTCAGAATTTTTACTACCGGTTCTCCAAACTACTCAAAATTTCCACTACCGGTTCTCCAGAACTGGTCAGAACCTGCTGAAACCCACCTCTGCTCTGGAGCCTGGGGAGGGCAAAAACACCCCCTCCATGCCATGGTGCAGGAAGCTGACTAGGCCATGTCCACCATGGCCACACCCACCCAGCAACCGGGCAGAGAACCCCTTGCTAAAATTTTCGAAGCCCACCCCTGTGGATGTCCAGTTTTTCATTGTCCAGTCCTCTCTCCAGCCAATTACAGCCTCCCTGTCTGCCCACATTTCCAATATGAAATCCCAAGGGGGGAAAAAAGGTCAGGAAGGAACTTTTCTGAGGGGCTTTTTCACATCAGGAAACTCTAAAATGATAGGAAATGAAGATAGGAAAAATAGCACCAGGGATAGCTCCATCTATCCCTTTAGTAAGAAACTGAGCTCAGAAACTGCACAAAGGTTATTTGGAACACATTTCCAAGCACACCAAACGTAACATAAAAAACCCAAAAGCTTTTCTTTCACAGAAAAAAAAAAGAAAAGAAAGAAAGCTTCCAGAAATGGCAAGGCTTGATTTGATCTTCATCATCAAGAAAGATTGTGCATCTTCAATAATCAGAATTTCCGTTTATAACACACGGAACAAACATGTCCTTCAAGTCAAGCTTAAACCCTGCTAATCTCCCAGAGACACCTATGCATTTTTCATAGCAACAGGGAGGAGGTGGTTAATCACAGCTTTCTTCTGAGAGAGTTTTCAAGTACCCGATTTAGCGTTACGCCTGAGATTTCCTGGTAGTTTCTCACCCAAATATTATCCCAGCCCAACCTTGTTTAGCTCCCTACGATCAATTCAGCTCCAAATTAGAGTAAAACATTGATTCTCCAAGACTTATAAATTGAAGAACACATTCATTAATCTCAATGCTTAAGTAACAATAATCTCTTTATCAATATTAAAATAATCAGAATTTGTCTGTCTGCCACTGTCTCTTTATTTCTCTCTCTCTCCCTCATCCTATCTATCTATCTATCTATCTATCTATCTATCTATCTATCTATCTATCTATCTATCTACCTATCTCTATCTATCTATCTATCTATCTATCTATCTATCTATCTATCTATCTATCTATCTATCTATCTATCTCATCTACCTACCTACCTACCTACCTACCTACCTGTCTATCTCTATCTATCTATCTATCTCTATCTGTCTATCTATCTATCTATCTATCTATCTATCTATCTATCTATCTATCACATTATAACAGCTGCAGAACTAAAAGACTTAGTTCACTCCATGGGAAGACTTGTAAGACATTTTATGGTACTACTCCAAAAAAAAGGGTGTTATTAGCTAGTTTTAGAAAATACACTTTTCCAAAAGGTTCCCACAACACAATTTTGGTCACTACTCTATCTATCTATCTATCTATCTATCTATCTATCTATCATCTATCTATCTATCTATCTATCATCTACCTACCTACCTACCTACCTACCTACCTATTTATCTAATCCACCCACCCAGCCATCCTTCCAGCCATCCCACAAGGTCTCACATTTTAGCGGCAGATCAATACATTTTCCATGCCTCACTGAATTTGCTTATATCAAATAATCCATAACTTGTTTTTATCTTCTGGGTCTTATTTTTCTGCTGCCTGAATAGAAAGGAAAAAAAAATTATTCTCGCTCCACAGGAAGGACAATTCTGCAATCAGCAATTAGGGTTACTTTATACATAGCTGCTAACCACTGCACAACCACTAGAAGACAGCAAATAGCTGGTGCCTTCTGCATCTTTAGGCTGCTGTTTAGGGGTTATGCAGATTTGTCCAGCTCCAGACATGATAGCTCTTTTAATAATTCACTCTTGGGTTTCTTTATCTCCATACTAACAATACATACAGAAACAAAGAAGGACAAAAGGATGCATATAATAAAGCTGGTCACTTCACAGCTTATTCAAGGGAGAGTCAAAGGTTTGAACTTTTTTATATCTTGAAGCTGCGTCCTGAACCAGCTCTGATTTTGGCAGCTTCCCTCCAGTTGTTCTACCATAAAGGAATGCAGAGATGACTTTGTGATGGAGAAGCCGTTAAGGGAAAAGAAACAGCAACTCAGACCAGGAAAAGGGGACAGAGTGAGAAGGCAACTTAAAACATCCCACCTTCATCATCAAAAAAGCACGACAAAGAATGTTCTTTGTGTGCCAACTCAGAAAGCTCAAACTGCCCAAGGAGCTGCTGATCCAGTTCTACAGAGGAATTATTGAGTCTGTCATCTGCACCTCCATAATTGTCTGGATTGGTTCTGCAACCCAACAAAACAGACACAGACTTCAGAGGATAATTAGAACTGCCAAAAAAAACCAATTACTACCAACCTGCCTTCCATTGAGGACCTGTATACTGCACGAGTCAAAAAGAGGGCTGTGAAAATATTTACAGACGCCTCGCATCCTGGACATAAACTGTTTCAACTCCTACCCTCAAAACAAGGCTATAGAGCACTGCACACCAGAACAACTAGACACAAGGACAGTTTTTTCCCAAACGCCATCACTCTGTTAAACAAATAATTCCCTCAACACTGCCAAACTAGTTACTAAGTCTGCACTACTATTAATCTTCTCATTGTTCCCACCACCCATTTCCTCCCACTTGTGACTGTATGACTGTAATTTTGTTACTTGTATCATTTGCCCCCTACGACTATCATTAAGTATTGTACCTTATGATTCTTGATGAACATATCTTTTCTTTTATGTACACTGAGAGCTTATGCACCAAAGACAAATTCCTTGTGTGTCCAATCACACTTGGCCAATAAAGAATTCTATTCTATTCTATTCTATTCTATTCTATTCTATTCTATTCTATTCCTTAATTCTGCTTGGTATAAGGTGGAGTAGAGAGAAAATCCTAGAGCAGTGTTGGCAAACCTTTTTGGCACTGAGTGCCAAAACGAGCACATGCAGGTGCGAACATGCGGGCACGTGCTGGGAAACCGAAAAAGCAGCTGACCGGTGCAATGTGCGCACTGAGCGGCTGCCCTACTAGTTTCCAGCATACATGCACATATGAAGACCAGCTGGCTGGCGCACCAGAACCTGAAAGAGAAACAGGCGATGGCTCACATGCCTGGAGAGATGGCTCTGCTCGCCATTTCCAGCTTGCGTACCATAGGTTCGCCATCACGGTCCTAGAGATTTACAAGATTCTGCCATTCTATTCTACATCAACCAAAAAAGTAATACAGGTAGTTCTCGGCTTACGACAACTTGTTTAGTGACCGTTCAAAGGTACAAGTAAAATTATACTTACATGCCCATGGTCACGTCATCAAAATTCGGAAGCTTGGCAACTGGCTCATATTTATGACGGTTGCAGCGTCCCATGATCCCCCTTTTGCGGCCTTCTGATGAGCCAAGTCAGTGCGGAAGCCAGATTCACTTAACAACCGTGTTCCTAACCGAATGATCGCAGTGATTCACTTAACAACAGTGGCAAGAAAGGGGGCAAAATGGGGCAAAACTCACTGAACAATGGTTTCACTTTGCAGCAAAAAGTTTGGGGCTCAATTGTGGTCATAAGTCGAGGACTACCTGTAGTCCTAGAATCCTTTTGGTATCTCTTTCCTGACCTGGTCTTCCCTGAGGGTCTAACATCAATTCCGAAAGCCTATCAGTTGTACCAAATGGAATCAAGGTGATTGTCAGAACTTCCATCCAGAGCTTCAGCTTTGCTTTGCGAGATATCAGCCTGCCATAAGATACGGGGGGGGGGGGGGGGGGGGATGACGACGGAGCTGTTGGGAGGGAGGAACAGAAACCACTCATTGTGACTTCCAGAGACATCAGCTCACTGTCCCAAGGCCAGAAGCCTAGGAATGGAATGTAACGGCTTACCGTTTCGCCTGCCACCGCAGAGACTGTTACCAAAACAAATCTTTTGAATGTAACTATACAATAGGGAGATAACAAGGGGGAGGAACGGAAAAGGGGAAGTTAACTGGGGAATCTTCATGCACAAACCTTTCGTTCTGGCTTTGCTGTACTGTAAACCTTTGGCTCTTAGTAAAAGTATATCTTTCTTTTCTCACCAAATGGAGTCGAGGGTCTTTCTTTCCCAAGGATCCAAGCTGTGGCAGGTATGACAGTGATATTATTCTGAGCTACTTTCTCACACTTTCCCCTGCTCCTGGACTCAATTCTCGCTTTACCCTCCCTTAATGGTTCAGTGCACAAATAGAAAGGCAGAAGTCCCTAGACTAGAGGCACTCCATCGCTTCCTACATCTCCTCTACTTTGTCTCAACTGAGATGATGGAACCGTCCCGAATTTGAAATGTTGGATTCATCCTCCACTCCAAGCTAACTTCCCCTCCTGTTTTGCTTCACCCTCTGTAGCCCGAGAGCTGCTCACCCTCGTACAGCATGCAGCAGTCGCAGAGATGGGTAGGCGGTGCGGACGTTAATGCGATGCTTGAGGATGAGTTCGTTGACCCACTCTACCCGTTCCTTGCCCCCTTTGGCCATGAATGCCGGGATCCAAAGGATGCTGCCATTGAGGCTATGAAGGCGTTGAAGCAGCTTCTCCCGCCAAGTGTCATTCACCAGGTCCTCAAAGGCACGCTGGATGACAGAAGGATTCATGGTGACCAGATCAGTCTTCGTTCCAACGTCATGGATATATTCCTGCACCGGGGCTAAATTGCATCTGGAAATGGAGATTATTAGAATACAGGCTCAGGTTTCCCTTTAAGTTAAGGAATTTGAAAGAATAAAGTTAATATAAACGGTAATAGTTTATAAAGATCATTAAGGGCAAACAGAAATACACAGTATATTACTTCCCCAGCAAGGAAGAAAAAGCAGAAATGGTTAAATATTAAATATATTTAATTATGGTTTTTTTAAAATATTTGGAAGTCACATCTGGATTTTGTGCTTGTGATTAAAAAGAAAAAAACTTTGACTTTGGTTTGGCCGATTAGATAAATTTGTTATCATAGAAATGGCTAATGTATACTAATGTGTAAAAGTTAAAAAATGGAGGCTGTAATGTTATCTTCTACTGTGCTAAAAAGAGTCGGAAGTCAATACTTTTTGCTTTTTTCCCTTGTACCCCACATTTTATTCCCCCCCTCTTTTTCCTTCTCCTAATTTTCTATTTTTAGTTTCCTTTATATTTTATACTTGGATAAAACAATAAAATAGCAGTAGCAATAGCACTTAGACCAGTGGTGAAATCCAATTTTTTTGATGTATGGGTGCCTTTCCCAGGCCTCCCATTCGTGTCTTTTTTTTTTTATTGAAAAAGTTTTAAAACAAACACAATTTCCCCACAACCCTCCCTCCCAACCCCTCCTCCCCCTCCCCGACTTCCCAGAGCAGAACACAAGGTATTTCTATTGACCTTTAACAATAAACTAAATTGCATAACCAATCATTAAACTAACACCCCCTAAAAAAAAAATTCTTAACCCCCCATATATAAAATCCTATTTCTTAAACATAATACTTCTAATATCACTTATATAACGCTTATACAAATAAAAGAGATCATTCATAAGCTATTTGATATTTTTTGGTCTGATACTTATTTTGTATATAATCAATCCATCTTCTCCAGTCCTGTATATACCTTTCTTGTGTGTGATCCTTCAGATATGCTGAAATTTTAGCCATTTCAGCTAAATTAGTTACTTTCAATATCCAATCATTAATAGTAGGCAAAAAGTCCTTCTTCCAGTGTTGTGCTACCAACAATCTTGCTGCTGTTATCAAGTTCAAAATCAATTTAGTCTCTGCAACTGTACAGTCCGTAGTTATACCCAGTAAGAACAACTGTGGAGTAAATTTCAGTCTCTTTTTAAGAATATTCTGCATCACCCACCAAATCTTTATCCAAAATGCTTTGATTTTTCTACAAGTCCACCATATATGATAATAAGTTGCATCATCACAGTCACATCTCCAACATTTAGCTTGCACATTAGGATACATACATGATAATTTTTTGGGATCTAAGTGCCATCTATAAAACATTTTATAAAAATTTTCTCTTAAATTTTGTGCTTGTGTAAATTTCACATTTCTAATCCAAATCTTTTCCCAAGTCTCCATCATTACTGGCTCTTGAAAATTTTGTGCCCATTTAATCATACAGTCTTTAACCAATTCCGTCTCAGAATCTATTTCCAATAAAACATTATACAACCTTTTAATATGCATTTGTTTTTGATCTCTAAATTGTTTTACCAAATTCTCCTCATTTTGCACAAAGCCAGTTTTTTGATCTTCCTTCCATCTAGCTTGAAGTTGACCGTACTGAAACCATGTATAAATTATACCTTCTTCTCTCAGTGTATCTAAAGATTTCAAATACATTACCCCCCTTTCCATAATAAGAAGCTCTTTATAGGTAATCACCTCCTGTTTTTGTTCTATACTTATATTTTCTATTGCATGTCTAGGATTTGCCCATACAGGTATCTTATAATTTAACTTATATTGATATTTTTTCCAAACCCTCAACAAAGCATGAAATCCAATTTTTTTTACTACTGGTTCTATGGGCGTGGCTTGGTGGGCATGGTGTGGCTTGGTGGGCGTGGCTTGGTGGGCATGGCAGGGGAAGGATACTGCAAAATCTGCTAGCAGCCTAGCTAGATGGTACATTAATAAGAGAAAAGGAGGGAACGAGGGAACGAGAGAAAGAGGGAAGGAGAGAAGGAGAGAGAGAAAGAAGTTTTCCTAAAAGATAGCCTGCTTTTTTGCAGCCCAAGATCTCTCTTACCCTGCCTTAAATCCAGAAATCCCCTTGCCCTTTCCATGAGGGGTTACCTTATCACAAAGCTGTGGGTGTCAATTTCCTTGCCGCAGCCGCTGTTCAGCAGGATGCCGGAATTCCCTACGATGGCACAGGTCCGATAGTGCTTGCCCTTCAGTGGGGATGTCCTCGGCAAGAGGGCATAGAGGTTTTGGGAAACATTCATGGTGCTGTCTCTGTCAAACACATAGTGGATGATGTCTCCTGGTTTCAAAGTTCCCTTGAGCACCGAGATGTCTTTCTCGGCATCCAAAAACTTCAGGATGTGTTTTCTTTTAGAAGAAGAGGAAGATAAGAACACAGAAAGAGCCATTAGGCTTCAGAAATACTGCCTAGCCCTCCCTCCCTCCCTCCCTATCCTTCCTTCCTTCCTTCCTTCCTCCCTCCCTCCCTCCCTCCCTCTCTTCCTTCCTTCCCTCCCTTCATTTCTTTCCTTTCCTCTCTCCCTCCCTCCCTCCCTCCCTTTCCTTCCCTCCCTCCCTCCTCCTCTCCTCCCTTCCTCCCTGCCTCCCTCCCTCCCTCCTTCCTTCTTTCCTTCCTTCCTTTTCTTTCTTCCTTCCCTCCCCTTCCCTCCCTCCCTTCCCTTCCCTCCCTTCTCTCCCTTCCTGTCCTTCCTTCCTTCCTTTCTCCCCCTTCCCTTCCCTTCCCTTCTCTCCCTCTCCTTCCTTCCATCCTCCCTCCCTCCCTCCCTCCCTCTACCCACCCACTGTAGTGGCAATGTGGAGGACAACTATTATTTCAAATTGTCCTCAATGTGGAGGACAATTGTTATTTAGTGACATATTTGGATTTCTCCTTGATATTAAAAAAAGAAAGAAAGAAATCCTACAAATTTAGAGCTGATTCTGAGCCAGCCTGCTTGGTTATTTTCATTCTTGTTTACTGAATTGGGGGAGGGGAGGATCTTAACATAGCTTCAAACCTTCTCTTGTTGCGAAAGTCCCAAGACATTCAATACCCAGCCCAGAGTCATGGGCCACCCAATCAAGGGCAGGTCTAACCAGTGGTGGGTTGCCCCTGGTTCGGACCGGTTCTATAGAACCAGTAGTAAAACCAGAGGGAGACTCCGCCCACTGACTCCGATGTCATCAGAACGCTTTTGCGCGAAATGGCGAAAATCTCAGCGTACTTGAAGGACTATACACAAGAAAGATACGTATCGGAATGGAGAAGATGGATTGATTATATTCAAAATAAGTATCAGACAAGAAAATATCAAATAGCTTATGAATGAATGTTAAGTATTAGAAGTATTATGTTATCTATAGTGGAGTTAAGGTTTCGGGGGGGAGTTAGTAGTCTGAGGATAAGTAGGTTAATCTAGTTTGATTGTTAAATGAAATACCTTGTATTTTGCTCTGGGAAGTCTGGGGGGGAGGGTGGGATGAGGGGAGGGAAAGGGTGGGGGGAACATGGGGGGAAGAAAATTCTTGTTTTTTTTGTAAAACTTTTCAATAATAATAAAAAAAGAACGCTTCTGCGCATGCCCAGAAGAGCGTGCACGCGCACTTACTTTACTTACACACACGTGCGGCTCCATTGCAAACCGGTAGTAAAGGTAAGTAGAACCCATGCCTGGGTCTAACAGTCTCCTGACCACAGCAGGGCCATGAAGTCACAGTGCCAGGTTTGGATTAAAAACTACACTGTTGTTTTGTTGTTTGTCGGGAACGTCTACATACAACCTAGTATTGGATTCTGTAGAAACTGGCCACCTTGAAGTACCTCTGCTGTCATTATCAAGGAGCTCCTAACAGCTTATAGGAGCTCTTGCTTGGCATTTATGTTTTTAATCCTAGGCTTTTAAATATGTTTGCTTAGTTGATAATAAAGCTTAAAATCCCTTTATCCACTTGTTCATTGTCTCTGGATCCAAAAGAACCAGTCGCTCGGTCAACTAATCACTGCTTTGACCCTAAGCAAAACAACTACCTATCTTTTCACATCTCTCTCTCTCTCTCTTTCCTTCTTTCCTTCACTTTGCATGCAGTCTTGGCTTTTGATGTTATGTCCCACCTCCCTTCTTCTTCAACAGCTTTGAAAATTTGCCAAATGTTTTTGGGGTGGCTGCAGGGGTGGGATTCAGCCAGTTCGTACTGGTTCGCCGAACTGGTTTTTGCAAGGACTGCCTGACCCTGCCCTCCCTGCCCTGCCCCTCCCCTACCATGAGTCTCCAGGCAGCCCGTTTTGGATGCCAGGTAAGTGGAGGGCCTGCGCGGAGGATCTGGGAGGGTGAAAAACAGGCCTACTGGAAGTTCCGGAAGTCTGGAAACGGGCCTGTTTCTGGCCTCTGGAGGGCCTCCGGAGCCCGGGGGAAGCCATTGTCGCCCTCCCAGAGGCTCAAGGAAAGCCTCTGGAGCTTGGGGAGGGCAAAAAACAGGCCTACTGGAAGTACCGGAAGTTCAAAAATGGGCCTGTTTCTGGCCTCCGGAACCCAGGGGACGCCATTTTTGCCCTCCCAGAGGCTCGAGGAAAGCTTCCAGAGTCTGGGGAGGATGAAAAACAGGCCTACCGGAAGTACCAGAAGTCCAAAAACGGACCCGTTTCCGGCCTCTAGAGCCCAGGGGAGGCCATTTTCGCTCTCCTGGAGGCTCAGGGAAAGCCTCCGGAATCTGGGGAGGGCAAAAAGCATCCCCCTCCCCGTGGTGCAGGAGGCCGAGTAGGCCATGCCCAGAATGGCCGCACCTACCCAGCAATCGGGCAGAGAACCAGTTGCTAAAATTTCTGAATCCCACCCCTGGATGGCTAGGAAATCCTATCTTGCAAATGGTTACAGAAAGTTTGAAATTACAATTGCTCTTGTCACAACAAGGAAAAGCATGATACTAATATTGATTTATGTAACCTTATCGCAGATAGGAGCCGAATCAGATCCGAGATTAGTAAGGAAAATTGAGGGAGGGAGAGGAACAACAACAAAAAGGCAAAAAGAAAACCCATAAGTTGAAAGCTAGGCCTCCATTCCTGATCCACTACACGGATGTGTATTCATCAGGCATTCAGCTCGACTCAGAGGCCATTTGAGTAATACTAATACTTCTTGGCATACATAATCTATCTGCACTTCATGCAAAAATCATTTCCCCAGCTCTGTCAACAAGGTTTTTCAGCCTGGAGCTATCCGATTCTTTGAGGGATTCCAACTTATGCAAACAGAACTGTACAATGGAACAAAAGAAGAAAGTAATCCATTGGTGCTTGCAAATGCTTTCTTTTTTATATATTCCATGATAGGAAGGCTTTTTTTTTTCCAGGCCCGTCCTGAAATATAAGTACTGTGCTGCTTCTTCTGTTTTTGAAAGCAGAAGGAAGATTGAGCCATCTTTCCTCAGGGTTTTTCTGAAAATGGGAGCCTTAAGATATCTGCAGTAGGGATAGGAGGTGGAGCAGGGGTGAAATGCTCTCGGTTCGGACAGGATCACTCAATCCAGTAGCAATGGAGGCGGGTGGTTTGGAGAACCGGTAGCAAAAATCCCTGCCCACCCCCGTCATGCCCAGCTGAGCCATGCGATCATCAGAGGCTTTTTTTTCTTTTAAATGCCTCTGACGATCCAAGCTGAGTTGCCTGATCGGCAGAGACATTTAAAAGAAAAAAAAAGACTTTTCTATTTCATCAAGCTGGCCTGGCCTAAATCTTCCCCCTTTTTAAATGTGGAAATTTTAAATGTGGAAATTTTAAATTTTAAATTTGTCTTATTTATAGGGTCATGGGTAAGGCGTTTTAAATTGGGGAGCCATTTTGGATTTAATTCTGTTTTAAACGTATTTTAATGTTTATATTGTAGGTTTTTAATTTTGGCTGTTCACCGCCCCGAGTCCTTCGGGAGAGGGGGCGGTATAAAAATCTAATAAATAAATAAATAAAAGAAATAAATAAAAGAAAAAAAAGCCTCTGATGATCAGGCAACTCAGCTTGGATCGTCAGAGGCATTTAAAAGAAAAAAAGCCATAGTCAGAGCCTTTTGAAAGCATTTTTTTACAACCCCTTCGCCGAAGAAAAAATGGTTTTAAAAGTAAAAAAAAAAAATTGGCCATGCCCACCCAGTCACATTACACCCCCCACCAAGCCACGCCCACAGAACTGGTAGTAAGAAATTTTAGATTTCACCACTGAGGTGGAGGTCCCAAAAAATCAAGATGGCAGCCATGGTCAGGCACCAGGTTGGGGCTTAGAAACTGGGTTCTTTGCTTTTTAAAAACAACAGTATAATATACAGGTAATCCTCCACTTGCAGCCACAACTGAGCCCAAAATTTCTGTTGCTAAGTGAAACATTTCTTAAGTGCGTTTTGGCCCATTTTGTGATCTTTCCTGCCACCGTGGTTAAATGAATCCCTTTAGTTGTTAAGTTAGTAACACGGCTGTTAAGTGAGTCTGGATTTCCCGTTGACTTTGCATATCAGAAAAATAGGGGACCTATTTTATCAATGGCTAGATAAAAATATATGGAAATGAAATATGGTAGAGATCTTTATAATACAAGAATTATATAAAAATATAACATAAAGATGTATTGTTATTGGATCGATTTAGGATGATGAAATGAATGTTATAATATAAATCAACTCAAATCTTAGAATATTTTGTACAAAATGAAGGAAGAAATAGCCATAGTCAAATAAATGATTAATGAGGACAATAATGCATAGATATATATTAGATCGATAATATGGGAATTTAGGTAAACTGTAAGTTATGAATATGGTGAAGATGCACAAAAGACTTGTAACCAACCGACACAGTTCGTTTGTAATTGAAGATGGTTTTATATTTTTATGTATATTTGTTTAAAAAAAATTTTTTTAAAAAAAAGAAAGTAGGAAAAGGGGATTGCATGATCCGGCAACCGTCATAAGTATGAGCCAGTTGCCAAGCTTCTGAAATTTGATGACGTGACCATGGGGATGCAGAAATGGTTGTAAGTGTGAAAAACCATCATAAGACTCTTTTTTCAGGGTCTTCAAACAAATAGTTGTTAGTAACTATTGGTTACTGTGCTGGTTTTTCCCTTGAGCTTTTCAAACAATTTTATTCTGTGTGTCTTTAAAATCATTTGTGTTAAGGAAGCTGCCTATGGAGCCATTCATCAAAGAGGGGGATTAGAAACCCATCTATCATTTGGAAGGCCCAGACTCGCCCCATGAACTGACCCCCTGGTTGTTCCACTCCTTGTCCCCCCTCTAACTAGTATCCACCTTGGCCTTCATCTGTCCTTTGTCAACATTTGTCCCTGTGGGCCATTCTCCATACCTGATGGTCAGTGACAGCGTCTCATTGTGTATCCACTGGGATTGAACTGTCTTGTCATGGTGCTTAATGTTGTCAGTACTTTGCTCAGCAACAGCTGGAGATGAAGACCCATTGACTGTCCCTTCCGTTCTGGAGAGAAAAAGGAGAACAAAGAAGAATGAAAGAGACAGACAAATAGACAGACAGACAGACAGAGATGATAGATAGATAGACAGACAGATAATGAGTAGATTTTAGAAAGAGAGAGAGAAAAATAATGATAGATATGTAGATAGATGAATATATTGTGCATGTGTGTGTGTATATATATATGTAGATAGAGATAGATAGATAGAGATAGATAGATAGATAGATAGATAGATAGATAGATAGATAGATAGATAATGAATAGATTATAGAAAGAGAGAGAGAAATAGATAGAGAGATGATAGATATGTGGATGGATGAATAGATTGTGTGTGTGTATATATGGATATGGATATGGATATGGATATGGATATGGATATGGATATGGATGGATAGATAGATAGATAGATAGATAGATAGATAGATAGATAGATAGATAGATGATAGACAGATAGATACACAGAGAGACAGAGACAGAGAAGGGGGGGGGATTTATTAATAGTATTCCCAATATCCTTCTGATTGCTCGCCTATGCCAGCCAGCCTGCAATCCCCGAGAAGTGAGCTCGTTGAAGCGATCAGTTAGAATGGCTGGGTTTCCCCATTCCTGTTTCTCTTCTGATGACAGTCAAACAAACACCTTCCTGATGGGTTTTGTTGGAGTCATTTGGGAGAGGTGATTCTATCAATTTTGGTTCCTCTCTATTTTTCCATTTTTGGAACCAATCCATTTAGGTTTTCTCTGTTTCTCACCTCCGTGTCTTATTTCCTTTATCGCATGGATTTTTTTAAAAACAAAACAAAACAAAACAAAACGTGCTATAATTTGCTTGCAGTTTGGTAAGCGTTTTCTTGAAGAGGTTTATTTTGTTTGCAAATTAATGTACACCGTGTGTGCAAGCAGTTTTTCCTTCAGGCAATTCGGAAATGTTGTTTTCACAGATACATGCAGAAGTCTGAGTTTATCATTTTATAAGAGTAAAAAACAAATAAACAAAAAAACAAAAAAACAAAACAAATCAGCACATTTAAATTGGTAACTTTGGGTTTATTGGTCAGTTTGAAAGTGCGGAATTAAATTCAAGCTTTGCATAGTCCTTCTCGAACTTTGCTTCCTATAATATGCCACATATTCCCGGGGTTTCTTCACCCATTCACTTCTTTGGTTGAACATGCCAAAGCAATGAATCCTATGTATTGGATGATGCCCGTCTTCCTCAACCTGACGTCTTGCGTATTTGCAACTTTGGCCCATGTTGTTCTTCACAGGAGTTGCAATCCTAACAAATCTGGAAAGCAACAGGCTAAGGAAAGGTTGCCCAATGCAAACAAACCAAGAGACTTAAGCAATCATGCATAGAGCACATCTGGGACATGAATCCCTTCCACATAAGCCTGTTGTGGCCCCGCCCTCTGAGCCTGTCCCATCGGAGGAAGAAAGCTCTGAGCATGAGGAAGAGGAGTCAGCCAGGCTTCCCTCTCCAGGCCCCTCCCCTCTGGCACTGTCTCAGGTGCCGGCCGAGGGAGAGGAGATTAGCAGGGAGACAGGTGGCTCGGATGAGAGCGAAGGAGAGACATCATTCCTGGACGCACGCCTCCGAAGGCGTGATAAACGATTGCAGCAGCTCAGGAGGCGTGCTAGGGATTAGAACTGAGTCACTGGACCACACCCCAGAGACTATATAATAGAGGGTGGTGGCCAGTGATCCTTGTGACGAACAAAAGTAAACCTTGGATAGTCACTAAAGCCTCGTCCGGAAACTGCTGAGAGAAATATTATTCTGATTGGACTTTTGTACGCTAAGTATCTTATCTTTCTGTTTTGTGGAAATAAATGCACTTGGCAGACGGTGTGTAAATCGCTGCCAAGTTGGAGATAAAGACCTGGGTGTGTGCCAAAGTGTTTCCTTAACCCTCGGCTGGCTGTGTTTGTGTGTGTGTGTGGACGGGGACAGATCAAAGCCAGGGGTGTCAAACTCAAGGCCTGGGGGCCGGATCTGGCTGGCAAGTGCTTAGATCTGGCCTGTGGGACCAGCAAAAGACCAGCCCATGGTGCCTCTGCCAGCGAAAATGCAGGCAGCCCTCCGGAGCTCCATTTTTGCTGGCAGAGGGTTGCTGGAGGTCGTCGCAGCCGAAAACGGAGCTCGGGACCCCATTTTCACTGGCAAAGCGCTCAGGCCACCACAGGAGCCCCCAACATGAGTGACATTGAGTTGGCCACACCCACCATGGCTCCCACACAGTCAAACTGGACCCTGATGCGGCCCTCAATGAAATTGAGTTTGACACCCCTGACATAAGCAGTTCTTTATTTCCCACATCGTCTGAATTCCATTTAAAATGCCTCTGAGGATGATCCAGGCTGATCTGACTATCTGGACCTCAGGATGCTGTAAACATGAATCTCTTGACCTATCTGTGAGTGAAGAATTTAGGAAGGACCATCAGCCACCAACCCTTGCTAGCAGGGGTGAAATGCTCTGAAGTCTGCTACCGGTTTGCTTCAGTACTGGTTTGCTTCGCGTGCGCATGCATGGTGCGCACCAAGCGCATGCTTCATGCGCATTTGCACTGCAGGCGCTACCACGCAGTGCTGAAAAAGGAGGATTAAGAAACCTTTTCTGAGTCTGCAAAGGTAAGTAGGACAGCGAGGGGGGGAACGGCTCTGCCGCACGATTTAGATTCGCTAGAAAGCAGGATTTTCTGCTTTCTAGCAAATATAAATTGTGTGGCACAGCTGATCGTCGGACATACCGGTTTGCCCGAACCAGTAGCATTTTTTTACTATAGGTTCAGGCGAACCGGTCCGAGCCAGTAGCATTTCATTAGTCTTCCACATAAGATTAGCTGAGTTTAGAGAACTGTCCACCAACTAGTGCTGATTTGTTGACCAGTAACCGAGTACCATTTTTTAAGTCAATGACTCAACACATGACTTTCCCCTTTCCCCCCCACCTTTCTTTTCATTTCGATAAAAGGGAACATATTGCTAACACATTGCCGTGTTTATGAGATTGCCACAATACCAACCTGCAAGACTAAATTGCCTTCAAAACTTCCCACATATGTTGGTAACCTAAATTAAGGGCTTCTTTGAAGCTGAAATCTGAAGGCATAAGGCAAGGTACAAATGTTGCTGTTTGTTCTCGTTGTGGAGAACAACTTGCCTGAACCCAATCAGATGTTAAATTGAAGGGGGCAGAGTTCACATCGGTCATCACACACAGATGTAGAAAGCTTTCCTTTTTTTGCCCTGTATATGTATACATTCGAACTAGACTGTGATGTTTCTCTGTGTCATATATGTGTGTGTATGTGGGTATATGCAGAATGGCTATCTTTTGAGAGCTGAATGCAAGGAAATTTCACTTTAATGTATGCTGATTAGTGTACATTTAAAGTGACAATAAAATTTCTATTCTATTCTATTCTATTCTATTCTATTCTATTCTATTCTATTCTATTCTATTCTATTCTATTCTATCCTACCCTACCCTACCCTACTCTTACCCTATCCTTTCCTATTCTCCATTCATTCTACTGTACTGAACTGAACTGAACTGAACTGTACTGTACTGTACTGTACTCTACCCTACCATACCATACCCTACCCTACTCTCTACTCTCTACTCTCTACTCTCTACTCTCTATTCACTCCACTCCACTCCACTCCACTCCACTCCACTCCACTCCACTCCATTCCATTCCATTCCATTCTACCCTACCCTACCCTACCCTATCCTTTCCTATTCTCCATTCATTCTACTGTACTGTACTGTACTGAACTGAACTGTACTGTACTGTACTGTACTGTATTCTGCCCTTCCCTACCCTACCCTACTCTACTCTCTACTCTCTACTCTCTACTCTCTACTCTCTACTCTCTACTCTCTATTCACTCCACTCCACCCCACCCCACCCCACCCCACCCCACACCACCCCACTCCACTCCACTCCACTCCATTCCATTCCATTCCATTCCATTCTATTCTATTCTATTCTATTCTATTCTTCAGAAAGGGCAGAGATGCATTTGGATCCAGGAAAGATCCAGCTGTTTATTTGCCTTCAACACTCCCAACCAGTTAATGGCTGGATTCAACATGCTATCCATGGTTTGCTAAAACCATTGTGGCTTAGTATGTCAGCAAATTGTCACTTATTCATAAACTGAACATGGCCTGAAGGGATAAACTGTATAGTCACTTTGTGGGAAAATAGCCAGAAACATAGGGGTTGGGGTGGAGAGGTGGAAAGCAGATCTAGAGAGTAAGTGAATAGAGCATCTCCCCCAGACAGACTGAAAAAGAGAAAATGACACAATGAAGGAGATTAAGAGCACCTTTGAGCAGAAAACAAAAGGAACACACCATCTATTTTACGAACCTATTAGATCTGCTGTGTAAACTGCTCACTGCTGATCGGACTGCACCTCGGCCCCCAGAATTCCTGCAAAACAAAAGAAATGTATTATTTATCAACCGCTCACAGCGATTCCTTTTGCACCGTGGAGCAGAGAAAACACTCACAGAGTTCATCGTCTAGAGATAAGATGCTTAGATACACTCTTGTGTTCAGAGACTGTTCCTTTTTTCTCCCGTCCTTCACAGTGCCGATGAAACATCTTCTAACCAAGATGAAAAGCAAGCAGTTTGATGAGAAATGATTCAACCCAGGTCAATCCTTTGTTGGAATTGATTGAGAGTGTTGGCCAAAGGACTCTTATTCGGCAGGAACTTCAACAGTGGGTTTCAAAAAATTTTACTACCGCTTTTGTGGGTGTGGCTTGGGGGTGTGAGTGGCATGGCTTGGTGGGCGTGGCTTGGTGGGCGTGGCAGGGGAAAGATACTGTAAAATCTCCCTTTCCTCCCAATCAGCTGGGACTTGGGAGGCAGAGAATAGATGGGGGCGGGGCCAGTCAGAATTTTTACTACTGGTTCTCCGAACTACTCAAAATTTCTGCTACCGGTTCTCCAGAACTGGTCAGAAGCTGCTGAAACCCACCTCTGAGGAGCTTCCAATGAAATCAATAGGAGCAAAACAGTGAGAGAGCAGCAAAGCCAGCAGGATGATTTTGCCACTTCTGGTTTAGCTTTTCCTTGCATCTTCTACTCACAATTTCCAGCGGAATCCATCATTTCCCAGAAGCAGAACTGGCCCTCTGGGAACTGAAGCCCAACATCTCTACAGAGTGAAAGATGGTTATATGCAGGGGTGAAATCCAGCAGGTTCTGGAGAACCCGTAGCGGAAATTTTGAGTAGTTTGGAGAAACGGCAAATACCACCTCTAGCTGGTCCCAGAGTGGGGTGGGAATGGGGATTTTGCAATATCCTTCCCCTAGGAATGGGGAGGGAATGGGGAGTTTGCAGTAACCTTCCCCTGGAGTGGGGAGGGAATGGAGATTTTGCAGTATCCTTCCCCTGCCATGCCCACCAAGCCACGCCCACAGAACCTGTAATAAAAAAAAAATTGGATTCCACCACTGGTTACATGGTCTCCTTTTCAGGAAATTCACAACTGCAAAATCAACCTTGGATGATCTAGAAAGCTCACCATTATCATGGAAACAGAATCTTTCTTATTAGGACTTATGGATAGTCAATAAGAAAAGACTCATAAGTGGTAGGTTTTATATATGGCAACACACACAGACACACATAGAAGTCCATATAATTGGGGAGGGGGAGGGAAACAGCTGCTTTTGTATTACTGAGAGGGTGTGACTGACCAAGATCAAGATACCATTTAGCACTAGCACTTAGACTTATATACAGCTTCGCAGTGCTTTACTGGCCTCTCTAAGCGTTTTACAGAGTCAGCATATTTCCCCCAACAATCTGGGTCCTCATTTCACCCACCTCGGACGGATGGAAAGCTGAGTCCACCTTGAGCCTGGTGAGATTCGAACTGTCAAATTGCAGGCAGCCGGCAGTCAGCAGAAGTAGGTTGCAGTACCGCACTCTAACCACTGTGCCACCACGGCTCTTAGTATGGTTTAGGAAAGACCAAAACTCAGGTATTCTCATTCCTAACCCAGTGCCTTAACCACTACCACAAACAGGTTCTCTTGTTGCATGATACAAGCTATCTAACACTCACTGAAAATTATTTGAGTTCTTAGCCAACAACATGGCATATTCATCTGCCCACCCAAAACATTTCTAACATCACCGCAAGCGTTCCTCCAAGAATTCTCCATAAATACACGAAGCAACCAAGGGGACATGACCAGGGCTTGTTTTATTCTTTGCTCACTATTAAGACTTGCACACATTTGCATGGTTCTCAAAGATCTGCTGAAGGGCAACTATATGGGCTGCATCACACACACAGAGAGAGAGAGAAGGGAGAGAGGGAGGGAGGGGGAGAGGGAGAAAGGGAGGGAGGGGCAGAGAGAGAGGAGAGAGGGAGGGAGAAAGAGGAGGGAGAGAGAAGGAGGGAGGGAGGGGGAGAGAGAGGAGAAAGGGTGAGGGAGGACAGAGGAAGGGAGGGGGAGAGAGATGGGAGAGAGAGAGGAGGGGGAGGGAGAAAGAGGGAGGGGAGAGAGAGGAGAGAGGGGGAGGGAGAGAAAGAAAGAGGGAGATGGAGAGGAGAGAGAGAGAGAGAGAGGTAGGGGGAGGGAGAGAGAGGGGGGAGAGAGGGAAGGAGGGAGAGAGGAGAGAGAGGGAGGGAGGGGAGAGAGGGAGGGGGAGAGAGGGAAGGAGGGAGGGAGAGAGAGGGAGGGAGGGAGAAGGAGGAGGGAGGGGGAGAGAGGGAAGGAGAGAGAGGAGAGGGGGGGGAGGGAGGGAGGAGAGAGAGGGGGGAGAGAGGGAAGGAGGGAGAGAGGAGAGAGAGGGAGGGAGGGGAGAGAGGGAGGGGGAGAGAGGGAAGGAGGGAGGGAGAGAAGAGAGGGGGGAGGGAGGGGAGAGAGAGGGAGGGAGGGAGAAGGAGGGAGGGAGGGAGAGAGGAGAGAGAGAGAGGAGAGGGGGAGGGGAGGGAGGGAGAGAAAGAGGGAAGGAGGGGGAGAGGAGAGTGGAGAGGAGGGAGGGAGAAAGAGGTAGGGGGGAGGGAGGGAGAAGGAGGGAGGGAGGGGGAGAGAGAGAGGAGAGGGGGAGGGAGGGAGGGAGAGAAAGAGGGAAGGAGGGGGAGAGAGAGTGGAGAGAGGGAGGGAGAAAGAGGTAGGGGGAGAGAGAGGGAGGGAGGAGGGAGGGGGAGAGAGAGAGGAGAGGGGGAGGGAGGGAGAGGAGGGAGGGAGGGGGAGATAGAGGAGAGAGGGGGAGGGAGGGAAAGAGAGAAAGAGGGAGGCAGAGAGAGGAGAGAGGAGGAAGGAGGGAGAGGGAGGGAGGAAGATGGTGAGAGAGATGGTACGTAACATCTGCCTACAATTCCCAAATTTTGCTCACAGTCTCCTCTTCTACCCTTTCAATCATAATTCTGCCAAAATTCTTCCCCAGCACATTTAACAAACTACTATTGACTTTTTTTCATTGTTTTTTCTTTGTAGAGGAAATGGTGGTGTTTCAATTATCAGGCACAGTTGCAGCTTTTACAGACCTCTTAAACAAATTGCACCACCTCTGTTTTTCTCCAGTTACGCCGTCTACTCCTGTCACTTTACAAATTTCCTTTCAACGCGTTTGACTTCCGTCTCATCATTTTTTTCCCCTTGAACCCTAGCATTTGCAGTACAGGGAGTCCTTGACTTACAACAGTTCATTTAGGGACCATTTGAAATTACAGCGGCACAGAATAAAGTGACTTACGGCCGTTTTTCACACTTACGACCATTTCAGCATCCCTGTGGTCACTTGATCAAAATTCAGAGGCTTGGCAATTGACTCACATTTATGACGGTTGCAGCGTCCCGGGGTTACCTGATCCCCTTTTGTGACCTTCTGACAAGCAAAGTCAACGGGGAAACCAGATTCACTTAACAACCATTTGACTAACTTAACGACTATGGTGATTCACTTAACAACTGTGGCAATAAAAGTTGTAAAACGGAAGAAAACTCACTTAAGAACTGTTTCACTCAGCATCAGAAATTTTGGGCTCAATTGTGGTCGTAAGTCAAGGACTACCTGCTCCTGGTTGTATTCTCTGTGATACTTTATAGCCGTGATGGCGAACCTATGACATGTGTCCCACAGGTGGCACGTGTAGCCATATCGGTGGGCATGTGAGCTCAGCTCCAGCTGATTTTCGGGCCTTCTGGGCCCACCAGAAGTAGGGAAACAGGCTGTTTCCTGCCTCCAGAGGACCTTGAGGGGTGATGGGGAAGGCCCGTTTTTTCTCTCCCCAGCCTCCAGAGCCTTTCTAGGAGTCTGGGGAGGGCAAAAATGGCCTTCCTCACTCCCCCGGCGGCCCTCCAGAGGCCAGAAACGGCCATTTATGGCCTCCCCAGACTCCTAGAAAGGCTCTGGAGTCTGGGGAGAGCAAACGGGCCTTCCGGTCCCATCGGAAGTTGGCAAATGGGCCGTTTTCAGCCTCCGGAGGGCCACCGGAGGGCCTCCGGAGGGGGGTGGGGAAAGCCATTTTCACCCTCCCCAGACTCCTAGAAAGGCTCTGGAGGCTGGGGAGAGCATAAAACAGGCCTACTTGTTGTGGCTCCGATCCCCGAGCCCATCTTATTGGAGGAAGAAGGCTCCGAACATGAAGGAGGGGAGCCGGCCAGGCCTCCCTCTCCAGGCCCCTCCTCTCTGGCAATGCCTCAGGTGTCTGCCGAGGGAGAGGAGATTGACCAGGAGCCAGGTATCTCTGATGACAGTGATGTGGGTGATAAGTCATTCCTGGATCCACGCCAACGAAGGCGAGATAAATGTTTGCAGCAGATGAGGAGGCGTGCCAGGGATTAAGCTGAGTCACTGGACCACACCCCACAGGCTATATAAGAGAGTGTGGTGGCCATTTAGACTCTGTGACAGACAAAGCTAACTTCTGGCTAGTCACTTTGTACAACGCCAAATCTGCTGAAGGTTTCATGTTTGAGCTGGACTGTTTTGAAAACTGTATTAGTTGGTGTTATCTGGTGGAGGAACACTCCCTCTTCTTGTAGTAAAGCACTTGGCAGATGGTTATCGTATTGCTGCCAAGATCCTGATAACGAACCTTGTGTGTGCCGAGTACTTCTTTAACCCCCGGCTGGCTGTTTGTGTGTGTGTGGGGACGGGGACAGAACACCTACTGTGCCATTGCGTGCCAGGAGGCGGGGAAGCTGGGGGGGAGTTGCACGCACATGCGTGGGGGCAGGGTGCATAGAATTATGGGTGTGGGCACGCGTGCGTGACACCCCCTCCCCCCACCTCATGGCACATGATGGCAAAAAGGTTAGCCATCACTGCTTTAGAGCTTTTCTTTTTTCCTATTGGCCTTTTCATAATCGGCTTTGGGGGTGTTTTTTTCTCCCCTGCATAAGGGACTTTTCCAATCACTCTTGCCTGTTCATTACATCTCCCCAAAAAACATTAGC